TGGCGGGTGGCCACACGGGGGCGGAGGGCGCGCGGACGGAGGGCGCGCGCTAAGGCCCAAGAAGGCGAGGGCAACTGGCCACTGCAGGGGGTAGGGGGACGCCCCTATGGACAGGGTCTGCCTGTCTGTGCCCAGCAGGGACGGGTGGGTGGGGGAAAAGGAGACTTTCAGGGGTTTTCGCTGCCCTCTACTTGCAGAAGCTGAGGTTGGGGCAGACGCCCTCTTGGAGGGAACTTTCTTTCCCTGTGTGCCAGGGTGCCAGGCCGTGCAGAGTTCCTGGGGCAGCCTCCTTGATGTCACCCAGCTGAGGGGCAGCCCTGGGCAGGCACCGGTGTTGTCAGATCTTCTGCCAACAGGACTGGAGCCTACATGACCAGCCTCCTGAGGGCCACCTCCTCTGGGACTTTCTGCAGGAGGACAGTGGCAGACTTGGCTCTTCTGTGTTTCTGCCGCTTCAATGAGGCCACTTGGAACTATTCGTGGGGCTCAGGGACATGTCCTCCCAGAGGCCTTTCTGCTGGGACTTCTCAAGTCTACCGTGAAAATCTGGACGAGGAGTGTGTGCAGAGCAGCCTGCAGGCCAGCGGGACCAGGACAACTGTGGCAGGTCCTGTCCCCTCTCCCTGGGCTGTGGGGGTTGATGGCTGGAGCCAAATTGCAAGGGAGAGGCAGACTTCTTCAAGTCCTCACAGGGATGTGGATCAGCCTTTGGAGGGACCCTGTCCTAACGAGATTGCCTCTGTCATCACAGCACACTGAGTGTCATGCCCAGCAGGCTTGGCAGGGGCCAGGATCTGCGGTGAAGGGAGGCTGTGTGTGGCCTAGGGGTCAGCGACCTGCAGAGCTGACTTAATGCAGGACAGTGACTTACTGTGTGTGACCCTCAGTGAATCATGGTGTCCTCAGCCGGCCCTAGAGAGCACTTCTGTGCTGGGGATGAATCCTCTTGCTGGACCTGCCCAGGCGGGTATCGAGCCACAGTGACTGTGTGCCCCCACACTTACAACAGGTGGGTTCCTGCCCCAGCATTGCCTGTGGAGCTGGCCTAGCTTGGTCTTCCTGTCCTGTAGACTGGAAGTTGCAGAGAGCTCCTCTCCCCACACTGTTGTATTCAAAGTACAGTTTAAAAATCAAAAGTAAACTTTTCAGCAACACAAAGTTTGCTTAGTGATCTGAAACTCTGGCAACTTTTGGGGGCTGTGGGACTTTGCTCACCTGGAACAGCCAACAGGGAGGAAGGCTCTACCCCCTTCACTGCAGAGCACAGTGGCTGCCTGGGGGCCCCCTTCCTGGTGGCGAAGAGGACTGGTTAGCTTCTTCATGGCCAGCAGCAGCAGACCACGGACAGATACCTGGCAGTGGCTTCAGAAGGAGGCCACTGAAAACAGACACAGGCAGAGTGTGATGTGTATTCTGCCACCTCTGTGCCTGCTTCCCCTAGGGGGGTAGGGGACATGGGAGGTAACCTCATGACCCCAGGGAGGACGTGGCCAGTCTTGCCATGGCCGTGTGGGAAGTGGTCTCTGGATGGCACTTCACATTGGATGCTGCTGGCCTGTGTGCTTAGCCTGGAAGATGAACCCGTGATGGGGCTTAGGGCTGGTGCCCAGGGGTACATCCCTCCACCTCCAAGTGTGGGTAGGGGCTCCAGGTAGGGGGAGCAGGCCCCTTGGACCCTAGCTCTCCCTCTCAGGGCACAGCCTGACTGGACTTTGCACTCCAGGCTCCACCCTGTGTGGCCCTATGCTTGACCCTGTCTGGGGGCACAGGTCAGGCAGATACAGGCCCCAGGGACCTTCCAGGGACAGGTGGCTGTTAGCTGGGCAGCAGCTCAGGAGGAGGAGACAGGAGTGGGATCGGGTAGGGGTTCCTGCACCAGGATTAGGAGCCTCCCTCTGCTGCCCAGCCTCTCCCTGTTTCCTGCTCCCTGTTTCAGACAGGAGATACCCAGCCCTAGTTACTCCCCACAGCAGTGGGCTCCTGGTGGCCCTTGTCTCTGAGGAGCCCTCCCTGGCTCCCATGGGCAGCTTCCATGCTCCTCATGGTTAGGACTTCCGTGTCCCCTATGGTCTTCCCCAGAGAAAGTAGGCAGCACCAGACCTAGTTCAGGGGCCACCCCAAGAGAAAGCTGAGTCCACCCCAAACTTGGCAACCCCTCAAACCCAGAATAAAGACCCTCATGATCTAGGATACCCCAACCCATCCCTCAGTACCACCCATGGCTGCACCTGGCATCAGAGCCCCCCAGGTTCTGCTCATCACAAAGACCTCTTCTCCAACCCCAGCCACAGCCCTTGGGGCTGAGACTGTGTGGCCCACTCTGAGGACCAGGACTGGGAGAGGTGACAGCCAGTGCAAGGGCCAGGCAGGGGCTGGGCTGAGGATGCCATCCTGTCCCAATTTCAAAGCTGTAGGCTTGCAGCAGAGGCTGCACGCCCACCTGGGAAAGAGGGGGACAGCCCCTGCCCACTCTGTGCCCACACCCTCCCTGGGGCTGGCAAAGCTCTGCAGGTAAAGCTCCCTGGGCCTGGCTGGCCTAGGAGTCCAGGACCGCCCCCAGGAGCTCTCAGAAGACTCAGTAAACCTGACAGGCGGGTCTAGCTTGTCCTGCTGTCCCCAGTTCCTGCTGCTGGTGGGGCCAGGCCAGATGAGGGGAAGCCAGGTGGAATCCAGGCCAGGGCTGGGGCCCCAGAAGGAGAGCCCCCGGGGGGTAGGTGGGGCACGCAAATGGAATGTGGGACCCCAGAAGCCCCAGCTTTGGAAGAACCTCATTCTCAGGAACCCTGGCTGTAGCCAGCCCAGGCAAC